ACTCTTCCCCTCACTGCAGACTGCGTCTCCGAGCGCGCCGACACCTCTTCTGCACAGAGGACTCTAGGGTTGGAGGACTCGGGTCGTAGCTCAGGAGGCGGCTGACGCTACTCTGCCAGATGCCTTACAGGAACATGCAGTGGCCGTCATGGGGATGTCAACGGCGGGCAGTGGATGTTGGTCGACGCAGTGTTTCAGGCATTATTAAAAACTGTGATCCCGTTATATTGGAAGTTTGAAAAGTTTGTGACAAAGGTTTGACAGAGAGTTTTGACAAAAGTTTGACAAGTTATGACCTCAGTCTAGATCCGACAGTGGAATGAAGAATCACACTACAAAATTAATTAAAGGCTCAGGCGTGGTCCGGGGGCACTTCTCCCGAAGTAAGAGGGGCGCGACAGTAACTAAAGTAGGATAAGCATACCGGTAGTTTCTGTAGACCTGCTGTTGTCTGCCCGTTTTATGAGTGCACTGCACACTTGTGCCATTGTTTGGGATGACTAGGGTGCATACTTGCCAACGTTGAGACCTCAGAAATCGGGAGTATTTGAAAATGCAAAATGGGGGGGGGGGTGTAGTTCTAAGTGCAATGCCTTGCGGCCTGTAGCACCATCCTCTTGATGGAGCATATGTGTGGGCTGGACCTGTATTTTACAGGAAAGGAGTGAGCAGATTGAGGAGTCGATTCTTGTTCTGTTTTCTGTGACTATCTGCCTCACCCTCTCAGACTTTCAGTTGCGCGTGCTACTTAAGAGACGCGTTACCATGGAAACCAAACAATGGTGTAGCTGTATTAAAGTCCGAGTGGAAACAGTCCTGAGTAAATCTGATTTTGTCAGAAATCGGGAGAAATGCGGGAGAAATATGACCCCGGGAGGAAACCGGGAGAGGGCAATGAAATCGGGAGTCTCCCGCGAAGATCGGGAGGGTTGGCGAGCGGGATACCTTTTTAAAAATATCAAATGTATGTACTGTTGGGTAAATATTTTCCAAGGTCCATAACTTTGACCCAGTTTATCAGTTCAAAGTGTCCTGACTGAGCACACGCACCTGTAACCTTGGCTGCTGTGCTCTCAGTGTTCTGTCTCGCTGTTCCTGCCTGTTGGCGTCAGCTGATAGAGGTGTTATGATTCTATCTTGTTATGCAGCATGTTGATTATTCTCTCTGAACTAGCTAAATACATGGGTCTGGGGTAGAGTTCTTCAGATTTGACGTGGCAACTCTACCGTGGAGTCAGAACCTCTGGCTCTTGGACTTGTTTTGTGAATTCTCCGGCTGAAGCTCCTAAATAAACCATCAGTGTTTGACATCAAAGCTCCTGCTTTTCCCGTGTCTCATTCCTGAGTCGGTGACTCCCACTGCATTGCTACACAGAAGTTTCCCCCACATGTACATATATATATAATGTATTCCTTAGTATATTAATCAATGTATTTCTTATAAAAGTGTTGACACTTTTGATGTCTTTATTGGTTTCAGCTCCTATAATAATGCAGTGTCTGGAGAAGAAACATCTTTCAGAGAGCAGCCAGGCCAAGCTGCGGAAGCAGGGCGTCAAACTCACCCAGAGGCTCGGCCTCACCTTCCTGAAGCCACGTCTGGCTGCTTGGAGGTCAGTCAGAAGAACACCTAATTATATCCAACATTGTGGAAACTTCACAATCTTTATCTGTCCAACACATCGATACAGAATTCCAATATGTATGTGCACAGAATATCTTGTTAAACCTTAAGCATGCATAACAGCAATTGAAATAATATTGTTAATCACAAAACAATCCAATTATGGGTCTTTTGTAGCACCAAGTTAAGTACCTTTTTAAAGAAGGTTTATATCCATGTTTTCTTCAGGTACCAGAGAGGCAACCGCTCCCTCGCAGCAAACCTGTCCGCCTCCCAATCTGCCACTGCTGCCACTCCTGAAGTGGAGATACAAGAACTGGAGGAAGACTATGATATTCCTGAGGAAGTGGAGACGGTTATTGGTCAGTTTCAGGCTCCAAAGTGTTTTATTACACTGCCTCTGCACAGGAAATCCAATCTGAATCATATTTCTCTTTACAGAGTATCTGCTGGTGGGACTGAAAGATAAGGAAACAATTGTGCGCTGGTCGGCAGCAAAGGGGTAACAATCTGTTCCATCTTTGAATTAAAAGTTGTCCTTGCTTTTAGTTTTACTTTTTGTTTGTATTAAAAAACATCTCCGTGCAAAAGAGTTTCAGCGTTGCAATAATTATCCTTTTTATTCACTCCTTCAGAATTGGGAGGGTGACTGGGAGGCTTCCCAAGGAGCTGGCAGATGAGGTGGTTGGATCAGTGCTGGACTGCTTCAGGTAGGCTCCTGCTGGGGGCACATTGGCTCTCCATCAGTCACACTATGCCATCCATCATTTCTTTATGTTTATTTATTTTTTCTCAAAGTACAGTACCTGTCACATAGGGACACATTTTCATGCTCCTTGAACTAATACATTTTATACTTTGAGTTTGTAATGTTGTGTTGTGTGTTTCCAGTTTCCAGGAAACGGACAATGCTTGGCATGGAGGCTGCCTGGCACTGGCAGAGCTCGGCAGGAGAGGCCTGCTGCTGCCTTCCAGGCTTACTGATGGTATGTGACAACATCTAACACGGACACTGTTATCCTAAGATACTCTTACAGGACTGTTGTGCGCTGGTAGTGCTGCACGGAAAAGTTGGAAGCTTCAGAGTAGTATAACATCGACATTCAGAATCTTTATAAACATCTGAATGATTAATATAAAATATATTTTTATTCTGTTTGAAACTTAAAATGAATTTACAATATTGCTGCCGAATTTCAGATAGAAAGTAGGCTACATTAAATTATTATTAGTTTGATACTTTTAGGCGAAAGATTTCAGTGGTGTCTGCATAGTAGTGATTCAAGTTTGGGTAAGCTTACTAGAAAAAACACTCACACGCATCAGAGCTCAGTCCACCACATAGTTATGTTGATGAAACTACCAAGTTAAATATATTGTTTTGATAAAGAAATGTTTTTACTCTTGTTATTCGATTAAGCACTTTATTCAAATGAAGGATTTTTCTTGCAGTCTGTTTTCATTTAATGACGACACCATAAAATATGACTTCTTTATTTATTCAACATATTCACCTTTACAGTACATCCCCACATTTCATTGTCACATTGTCAACATTGCAAAGAATGTCCAGGTTTAAATATAAACAGCCGTTATAAAAGTTTAGTTTTATATATACAATATATGCAAATAATCTTTACATTTAATTTTAATGTTGAACTTGTGGCACTGCAATATACATTTTATACATGTTCAATCATTTGATCTTTGTCAGTTGATGCTTGTTGTGGCGAAAGTGACCAAATATGATAAGAGTCAGAGTTCAGCAGCAGCGAGGCCTCCTCCTGAGAGCCCGCCCTGATGCTTTTGCCCTCTTGGTGGCTTTATGGCACTTGCTCTCAGCCTGGCTGCTGTTTGCTCTTTTCTTGCTTGTTGTTTTAGCCTTAGTTATGTGTTTGCTTTTCTTTGGAGAGCAAGAGCTGTCTGAGTCCTCTGAGGGCCTTTCTGTAGTGCTGAATTTGGATGAGGAGGCAACAGAGCTAGCAATGGCTAGTTGACACAGTGCCAGTGCTGCAGTCTGCCTCTGGTCACATGGTTCTTCGTCCAGCTCAGTGTCTGGCCTCTGCTGAAGATCTTCAGAAGTGCTCGGGGCAGAGATGGGAACAGGACTGCTATAAGAAGCTCGTAGGCTGAGGTTCAGAGGTAACTCTTCCCCCTTTAGTGTCTGATTGTCTGACCACCTCAATCTGTGGTCTGTAGGCTCTTTGTCCTGGTTCCTCGTTGAGAGGTTGAGGGGGGCCAGGTCTTCTCTGTTGTCCTCGTCATCTTGGTGCGGTGTAGAGGAATATCTGCTGCTCTCAGCTAATCTGAAAGAGACCAGAGAAAATAAAGAATGAAAGGACTGACTACCATACATTACCACATTTAAAGAACAATAAACTGTTGCCCAATCACACAAAGAAAGACAGATGTGTACATACCCTCCATCCACATGAAGGTGTTTCAACGGCAGTAAGCTTTCTGCAGACTGTTCGTGCCGTTGGTCACAGTTGAAGGGTTGCACGGCTGTAGCTGTTGGTCCTAGTCGGGTTGTTGTCTGTGAGTCTCCCTTGTTGGTGTAATGTGGGGCCTCTGCGTCTCTCTGGATGTTGTGTGCGTGACAAGGCCTGTCGGGGGACCCCAAGGCTGAACAGCCCTCTTTAGGACTCAGCCTTGTTTCCTTGTCTCCCCTTTGCCTGTGGCTGCTCCCCTCTTCTGTAGATGTGTTGAGGATGTTGGTACTGTGCTGTGAATGCATGTATAAATCATAATCCTTAGGCCCTGGGGCCGGGCCATACAGATCCAAAGGACGATATCTTGATTCCCTTATCTGCATGGAGAGCTCATGGGGTCTGTACAGAGTATAATGCAGAGGGGGGCCCGGGTGAATAGGGAGGCAGTATCTGTTTAGGTACGAGGGAAAGAGAGAAGTGTAATGTGGGGCAATAGGTTGTGGAACCACAGGCCTTTGGGGATTGATCAACTCTGGCTGGAAAGAAGAAGAATGTGGCTCACTCGCAGGGTGGTTAGCTGGGAGGTAGTATGGAGGATACAGGGGCCGGTCATGAAGGAGATAAGGAGAGTATTCAGGAACCATGGGAGGGGGGAATGGTTTTAGTGGAATGGAGGGTGAAAGCGTACCCCACGGGAAGCCTGGGTGGCTGAAAGTGGGAGCAGCAGCTTGTGAGTCCTCTGACTGTGGCACAGACGACTCGAAGGCTTCTGCTCCGTCACTTTTGGGTGTGACGGGGGAGAAGGCAGAAGGGCGTGGCAAAGACATGCCCTCAGCGCTCTCCTTGTTCCCTCCGTTTGTTTCTGTATTTGATATTGTCCCACTCTGGTTTTCCTTATTGACCGCACTGTCACACCCAACCTCTACTTCTTCTGTGTCTGTGTTCTCAGCCTTTTTCTCATGCTCCTGTTTCTCAGGACTATTGTTCTCAGCTGCTGGCACGGGGCTTGGGCAGTCCTTAGATTTGGCCGGGACTCCCTTTACTACAGCCTTGACCTGTCGGGCTGTCTGTCCATTTTTCTGCGACATCAGGGAGATGGAGTTTTTACACAAGTTGTATTTCATGTGGTTGAAGAGATGGGACTTTTCGTTGCAGGTGAAGGGACACTGGAAACACTGGTACTTGTAAGGCTTGCCTAGCGGTCGGGGAATGTAGTGGGGCCTTTTTGGCTTCCGTTCCTGAGCAGTCTCCATCTTTATTCTAACGGCTGTTATCTGATAGGAAAAATAAACGCATTACAGTGAAGAAATTAGTAGAAGTTCAGGTTTTTAAAGGTTCCTCTAGTCACATAAGCTGCTAGGGAGTCTGAAAAGAATCTCATGAATCATTGCAGCTTTTGTAGCAGATTCTCACTGAGCTGAGTGCCATCCGGCTGTAGGAGTCGTTTGACTGGTTCAGGCGGGGAGTTTATCTCTTTGGAGCGTTTTTCTCTCTGTTTCCTTAACTGCTTGCGCCAACACAAATCTCTATCTGCACAAAACACTGCACCCTCAGGCTAATGTATTTCTACAACTATTACTTCACAGTGCACTGGACCCCCATGATAAATAATTAAATATGAAAACTCGTCCACTGTGTGCAAAAGTATACCGACCTTTTTTGCAGTATGGTTTTGGTTCATTGACGGCGGCTTACTGACACCTACCTGCCTGTTCACCTCACTATTTGTTTTGATATCACTCATTCGTCCTGTATTGTTAGAGCTGCTAAAGCACCAGGCAGGCAGGTGTTGGGCAGACCTGGTGCTTACTAACGCAGACCTCAAGGGCATGCCAAGACTTGATTCCTCTATCAACCCAAATATACTCTTTGCTGTCGGCGTGGGAACCACAAGCCACCTGCTTCCCATGACTACACCTGCGGGATGCACTCGATTCCCAAATCATCCTTGCATGAGCTCACTAGCGCTGTAGATGCATGAGAATGAGTTTTTCTTTAACAATTGTAGCAAGCCTTTTCAAGGAAATAACAGTGAAGTAAACTGGATCTGAAACACTGCAGGCTCGCCTTCAATGAAACATCACCTAAAGCTGTGAGTTAAGTGTTGCTGGGTGCCGCGTCGAGGAACCTGCTTGTCATGCGCTGTCGCAAGAAGTTGTCACTCAAGTTTCTGTCCAACTGTTGTAGCATGCAAAGCCACTCCTTTCTTAAGAACTCAATTCATTTGAAAATCCATTTTTAACAGCGTATGATTCTCACTTTGAAAATATTAAGCCAGGAACCTTTTATTATTCTTTCATAAACATATTTTATTGGTTGTTTTGAGCTCAGATGATGATTTTCTTTTTTCACTGAGAATCTGTTTTTAATTTTAAAAAGTAGTTAATCCAACTAATTCATCTTCCAAAGTATATTTAACTTATTGAGAGGTCTGCAGAGGCCAGGTACTTTAAGCATTTCCTCTTCATCAGTCATTACAGTTCAAGTTAGAGCTCATTGAAATCAATAGGTAACAGGTGCATACGTAGCTTATAGCTTCCCTTAATATTACAAACTACATACTAGTCAATAGTACTTTTTCTAAATAGACATGTCCTATAACACAGAACCAAAAAGGCTTTGGCCGACTGCTACGAATGTAACTCAATGCAGCTTCCTTTTTAATTAAGGGAGAATTTAAATAAACTCAAATTACCTGCTCTGGTTGTGGCAACGGTGTCGTCTCCTGAGTGTTCAGCCTGCAGAGAGCCGCTCCACCGTCCGCAGCCAGCATTAGTCAGGATGTCTCTCCTATATGTGCTAAAAGTTCAGAGTATGTGTGTGATGAAGCATGTGTGTGCTGTTCTTGTTCATGTTAGTTGTGTGGTGAGTTTCTCTCTCTAAGATGTTGTCTCACCAGTGGGCGGGGCTTCAGCTCCAACAGCAGGGCCCTCAGGCAACACCGATGTACCAGATATTACTCCAGCCTCGAGCGATGATTTACATGATGGGGTGGGGCGGGGGCTCTCACTCCTTCGACCTCTTAAGTGCCTTATCTCTGTCTTTTGTGGAAATGACCACACAGGCATCATTTCTGTCAATAACGTGTTATGCTCGACACATGTAGATAACATTTAGCTGAACTTGGTCAATTAGAGCAGTGTTCAAAGAAGTGTTACACATCTAAAACTTAACTGAGATGACTTTATTACTAACCACTTATTATATATACCACTGATTATAATTGACACCTGTTATTTCAGACTTTCACTCCATTCTTTGCTCAAGCTAAAATGTGTTCATGTGGAAAGGGAACAAACATAAAACCAGTTGAACACAAATCCTACATGGGTTGAGATGTATCGGGCTGAACACTAATAGGAACCGGGTGCCATGCTTCACAATTGAAATAGTAACACCAATGGCTAAAAAGATGGCCAAGTTTTTATAACCTGTCCGCCAGAATTGAATCTCTGTGATTGGAGGACTGGACTGCCTGCTGCTCCAATCAGGCTCCCTCAGAAGCTAACCAGGAAGTGGGATGGGAATGGGTATGGGTATGGGTATGGGTATGGGTATGGGTATGGGTATGGGTATCAGCTTCAAGTGGCCCATCTCACTTCAGGAACCACACTTCCTACTTAGCATAAATCACACCAAATAGGTTATAAATATGCAAAGTGCCAGTACTGGCTGTATCATCAGGAGAAAAAAAATACTTCATCTTTAGTAAATAAATTGAACACACATCATCTATAATGCAGCTTGTTGTTACTGGTTTCAGTCCAATGATTTGGATTAATCAATGATGTTTAAATTGTGACATGAACTCACCACAAAGATTGCAAACAGTATATGTAATAGGTTTTTGACATTTGTATTTTTTATTCTTAAATTCAAACCACGTTTCTGTTTCTGTTGTCTACTTGCAGTTGTGCCACTCATTGTCAAATCCCTGACCTACGAGGAAAAGCGAGGAGCGTGCAGCGTGGGTTCCAATGTGCGAGACGCTGCCTGCTACGTGTGCTGGTCCTTCGCCCGGGCTTATGAACCCAAGGAGCTCGAGCCTTATGTGACTCAGATTTCAAGGTAACCTCCCTCTCCTTGCTATGAAAACTTCACAGGTATAAAACCACACCAATGACATATTTATATCCGTCAAGTTCACCCTTTTCGTGACATGAAGGTGAAACGTGTGATGTGGCTGAAATGAATATTAATACTGATTTCATTCATTGCTGCTGCTGTTGGTTTATAGTGCAAACACATTTCCTCCTTATGTATGTTTTGTCACTTATATTTTTAGAGCATTATTCACATTAGCATAACACAGGTACAGGTATTTGTACATGCAAATGATCCCATAACTGGGAGTTGCAGCCCACAAAGAGCTTTTTACATTAAGCCTACTATCAGGGGAAACACATCAACATGTACATACTGTGAATGTGTTCCTAATCTGTATTAAAAACCGCTAAAATCAACAGGAGCGAGAGAAACTTTTTGAAAGTCATCGAGATTTCAATAGGTTGCACTTGATTTAAAATTAACTTGTCATTTTGAATTGCCAAGAAGCTGCATAGTTTGCCTCTGAGCAGTTACTTACTGCTTCATTAAACCAGTTTTCAGTGGCACATCAATCATACATGTCCCCACACAACCAGCAGATATATGGGTGTGCTACTTTCAGGCCTGCATATTGAATTAGGCTTATTTTCACAAGGAAGTGAAGTGGTTAACACAATTATCTGAATGTAATTAATAGAAAAGGCTTTCTACAATGACATTCATTTTGAGATGCTTACATTTCCTTGTTTACATTTTCTCTTTCTACAAAACTGTTACTGCTGCCAAACCCTACCGTTGATCACCCTGTGGCTCAGTGTCAGCTGTTCTTTTGTTCCCTTTCTCCCTGTCTGGCTCTGTAATAATATACCAAATGATTTCATAGAGCCCCAATACTGGACTAAATCCAAGGTCTCCATGTTGTGAAAGTAAGATTTGAACTAAGTCAGGGGTAAAGACAATATTGTTTAAGTTTAGAAGGGAGTGTTTTTTAGTCTACAGTAAGTGTGGTGACTGCATGATTACATTGTTTTAAAAATGTGTTAGAAAAAACACAGTTGCATAAAATGGGAAGTGAGCTTTGGAGTAAACAGTACAGTATTGCCCTATTTGCACATTCAGCCACTTATTCATGATATTAGATAGCTGCAAGACTATTGCGTAAAAGTGACCAGGTTGCTTTTTTCAGACATGAGACAGACAGGTTCGATTGCCAGTCTTGTCTGAGATCTGACTCAGTCATTTTAGTTTTTTATCAGGGTCAAAAAACACATTTAAACATATTTTGGTCTATGCTATAAGGAAAAATATCTAACAACTTATTTTCCCAGAATTTGTGCATAAGAAATGCTGACTAAAGCAATAATTAGTAAATTATAAAAGAGTGTATAGAAACTAAGGTGCAACATCATCCAGTGACGTACGCTCAGTCTTAGTCAACAGTAACGGTTTGCGTCCTCCTTGATCTCTCTTCTCTCAGTCTGCATGTATGAACCTGCGGCCTCTGACTGTGCAGACCAGCTCTGCAGTGTCAGTTTGAACCCCTGCGACTACCAATATCATCAGCAGTCGTGACAACACCCTCCCTTTCCTTAGCCTACAGGATTGCCAGGTTTCGCCTGCTGCTGTAGGTTTCGGTCGCCGTTTGGCAGCAGAGCTCAGACAAGCTGGTTCCTGCTCTGTTCATCACAGCTTGATGACATTATCAGAAAACACACTTTTTAGATTGTGTGACTTCGGGGCACACGCACAAACCTTTGTATTTGTTTCACAGTTCAAATCAACTGTATATCTTAATTGTAGTAGCCATACTTATAATTCATCATATCCTTTCCTGTATTATCAAGAGAGCGCTGTTTTTGTTTCGAAGCCCTCAGGGCTGGGGCAATTAGGAAAGCCATAGCAGGGCAGTTAGTAACGCTCCAGGCCTGACTGTTGCTCTGTGAGGGAAGGAACCTGGGAAGAGAGCAAACAGGGCCAACAGCAGTGAGTCTGAGGCTGTCACTGTATGATGTATCAGTTGGCAAAGCCTCCCTCTAACAACTGATATTCACACACACCCTTGAGACTTGTAGAGGCAGTGTGAGGGTTATTGAGGTATCAATCATAATCAGGCATAACTTCCAGCATTGCAAGAAAGTCATTGTTATTCATGTTGTGGCTGAATCTACATACTGTTCCAGGAACCTGTGCACCTCATTTCAAATCAGTGTGGTGGTGCTGATGTGATCCAGATTTAGAACTTACTTTAATCTGAGTTAAAGACTCTATTCAGATGTTACTAAGATACTAATAAAACAAAGGTATACAAGGTTAGGATCTCAGTCAAATAAATGTTTCAAAGACGAAGACAATGGGCTTCATTTACCCATGTCTTCCAAATGTAATTATTTTCTGAAATTGTTCTTGAGAGACATCCTAACTATAAAAGGGCATGCGACGGCCGGGCTGTGTGCACACCAGGAATGATGAAGAAAAGTTAAGATAAGGATGCCCAGACTTTTGAGAGTGTGTAGTTCCAAAGTGGAGGGGCTCGCTCTCCGAGGTATGGTTTTAAAAGACCGTAATGCTTTTTTGGAAAACTATAAGGAATTATTACAAATTATAAAATAATATACATTTTTAAATCCTTTATTACATCAATGTAAAAAAGCAATAAACTATTATTTTGCACAAACATGTCGGCACTGAAATGTCCATAGGTGTGCTCGAGTGTGCACAAGTTCCATTAAAAGACTGGTAAATGTCAGAATGTGAGTGAAACCTTACTATGTAGGTTTAAAAAACCTTTGTTGTGTAAATATGTTTTTAAAGCTGCAAAATGTGATACACCTTCTTCCCTTCTTTGTTTCTCCAACAACCATGATAAGTACTTTACTGAAACTATAATAACAGAATGAGAAAATGATATATTGAAACCTTTAAATATCAGAAAACAAGTTTTAAACTTTCACTTACAAAGCTAGTGGAAGCACTGATACTTGCTTTTTTCAAATTGTACAGTATCATGTCTAAACCATATTATTGTGTAATCCTTGTCTAATCCTCTCTTTATTGCATTCAGTGAGAAATGTTATGTTGACTTCTTTGCTCAGTGAATGTCTCCTTTCCAACCCACTCTCTGTGTTTCTCTCTGCAGCGCTCTGCTGATCACTGCTGTGTTCGACCGGAATGTCAACTGCCGCAGAGCTGCCTCTGTAAGTCCTCCGGTCAACACCATACAAATACTGAAGATTTTCAGGACAACACCCTCCAAATATTTGTTCTGAAGTTTTTCAGTAACATGACAGAAGTTCATTTGTCTCATTTTGTCCCAGGCTGCCTTCCAGGAGAATGTCGGCAGACAGGTTTGTCACCGCAGCCTTGACTACTTGTGTATGATGAGTAATAAAATTACTGTGATTTGTCGTATATTTGCTGCCAATCATCTATTTCTTGCTCAAACTTGCCTTGATTTCAAAGCTTATTAAAAACAAAGAAATTGCCTCCAAGTGCAGCTACAAGGCACCAGCAAACAAGTGATTTGCCAACAGTCATTGAGCCATAACTCATCATCACACTAAATCAGAATTGTATCCATCTCATATGTATCTGCTCAGTAATGGTAAGTCTGACACAATGCACAACGCTGTGTGTTGCTTGCCTTTGTATCAACAGGGGACGTTTCCTCATGGTATTGACATCTTGACTGCAGCAGACTACTTTGCTGTTGGGAGTATCAGCAACTGCTATCTAAACATCACGTAAGAAAAACTGTTCTTTTACACAGTAGCAGATCTTTAGGCCTTGCCCTTTCCAGCCACATGGCTCTTAGCCACACAATACTCAAGTGAAGCTGCACTTGGTAAATGCTTGGAACGACAGGTAATGTCCCATCCTGAATTCTAGGTAGTCAAGTACCCAGAAGTATGCAGCTTTTAACTGATTCAACTTAATAAAAAAATCATAAGGTTAAAAATGTGTAATGTGGTTCTTAAATAAAACTCTGAACATCTGGTATTGATTTTAAATCTCTCCCAGAATATAGCCGTTATGTTGCTGCTATATATTTGTAGTTTACCGCTTGAGAAGGACATGTGTTCCAATTCAATTAATGAACGTTTTTAACCTTTTAGTAAACCCATCAGCCATGTAAGAAAAGAAATGTGTGCGTCTCGACAAACACAGACATACGTTTTAGGAATGTGTCACTACCAGCTGAGCAAACATTCAAGATGCTAGCCTCAGGATATGACTGACTATAGAACTCAACAAAACAAGGACAACAGAATAAAGATGTATGGAAAAAAGTAGAACTCGCTGAAATGGATCCCCCCACACACACACACTTGAGAGAAAGTCTGAAACTGGTATTTATTTTCTGTTCATACAAGCAGCTCAAGCTTTCTTTTTTGTGCTCCAAGTGTCTTCATAGCCAGTTTCCCGGAGTACACAGAGGCCATGATAGATCATTTGATAGCCATGAAGATCAACCACTGGGATAGGTAAGAACAGGTCCCAGTCTTCATACATGACGAATAAGAGGGAGGGTATATGTATACTAACTTTTTAGTACACATGTTTTCTAGTGTGATCCGAGAGCTCGCCACTAAAGCGCTCCACAACCTGACGCCTCAGGCTGCCGATTATATGGCAACAACAGGTAAACAATGTCACCTGACCTGTTTCACATGCAAGGGAGAAAGAAAATGGCTTATGTGGAATGCCTTCAGGGAATATCCAGAAACCTAGAATTCTTGATCATGAGTAGATTTATGCACTTTCTTCTTTGTTGGTTACAGTTTTGCCAAAGCTGTTGCCCATGGCAGTGGGGATTGACCTTCATGGTCGCCATGGAGCCATCCTGGCCTGTGCAGAGATTACACACGCTCTCTACAAACTGGGCCTTCAGACCAACAGGTAGACGTTCATACCCAGTCAATGAAACTTTGAATTGATTTGTTCTAAACCTTAACCTTAACAATGGTGATGTGCTCAGAGGAAGAGCTTCTCTTTAGCAATTGGTGTGATGTGAAATTGAAAGAAGTAAAAGTAATAATACAGTTAAACCTTTCTGCAACTGCATGCACACACAAAAAGTTGCGTATCATTTTAATGTTGATTTAGAAATGAGAACATTATGGAACTGTATGAGAACACTGTCAACTGAAATGATCATGCAGTTACTATAGGAAACAAATGAAAAGGTGCATTCTTAGGTCCTTTCTAATTCTGTTTTTTTAATTGTCGTTTTGTCCGTGAATGAATCTCATATGCTTTCCTCCTGCGTTTGTCCTACAGGGCTGTGGTGGACATGATTTCTTCAGAATGTGTTGACGCTTTAAAAAACATCCACCAGAAGGTAAGTGAGCACAACATGTGTAGTCGATTAACTGTAATCCAAATGTTCTCTTTTGCTGATGTTGATTTGTTTATTTACTTTCAGCTGAATGACAGAAAGCAGTACAGGTAGGTGGAGAGGTAGTGTTTTGATTTTTCACAAGTAGTACGGTAATAAATCAAAATACTCTTGACTTTCTATCATTATTATGTTTTCTTTTTGTAGGGGTTTTGGTGGAGAGCTAATGAGGCCAGCAGGTAAGTCTAAGAGCAGAAAGTACTTTACAATGCAATTCATTATATTCATGAGTGGTTGTTATTTTCTCATTGAACAGCAGATGTGACCAGTTTGTCTTCTCCACAGTGTGCTTTCTTATTGAAAAGCTGTCCCTCTCCAAAATGCCTTTTAAGAACGACCCGGTGATCAGTGAGTTCATTCTTGATATTGTGCTTTGAATCTTCTGTGTTTCATTCAGCTTCTTAGCTTAACGCCTCTAATGTTGTGACGTTGTGTTTCAGCTGGATGGCAGTGGCTGATTGACGACACCATAAAGACCCTCCATCCTGGTGTGAAGGATAGCACTGTGGTAAGATTTATAAAATGGGTGTCGCATCATGGGTCACGGAGTGTGCCAAATTTCCTTTTCACCTGCAAATTAAACACTAGTTAAACGAATGCATAAACAAAGTGACTGACACTAATATTATATAACATGCTGCTTTTCATTCAGAAACACCTTTTGTAGTTTACTAGTCATGATCTTCATCCTCTTTTGTCTGCAGGTTTCCATGGTATCGGCCTTGTCCGCCCTGTGTGATGAGTTCTACCAGGCCGAGCCGGGCCAAGCGGACTTACAAATTCAGGGTGAGTTTAAATTCATATGTAGTTCAGCTAATTATCCTGTAGATCTGAATACCAAGGTGACCTCTGCATGGCGTTGTGTGTAGATGTCCTGGTGTCTCAGTACGTCGAGGGGCTGAAGAGTCCGAAGATGCTCATTCGTTGCGGATCGGCCCTCGCCCTCGGCTGTCTGCCAAGGTTTATGATCCATGGCAAAGTGAAGCAGGTGTGTGTGGAGGATGTGTACAATTTCTAGACAATTTACATCTCACTGCATCGGTGTTTAAAAACCAGAGTGTACCATGTGTCCGTTAGATCCTTGAAGGCCTGCTGCAGATGTGCACTGTCAGCCAGAATGAGGAGACATTTACAGAGGCACGGAGAGATGCAGTCAAAGCAATATCTCAGTGAGTATCTAATATATGTTTTAAATGTTTAGATATAGACATCCTACCCAAACCTGCTCAAACTGTGGTCGGGTGGATCTCACATCACTACTTTGCAGCCACAACAGGAGTTGAATTATATAAATGAATGCTTATATCCTGTATCCTTTATCTGCAACTGTGCAGACATACTGAGTTTAAATAGAATAAAGAGAATTATTAAAGGAAAAGCATTGTAATGTTTGCTTTGAGCTTTAAAGCTTCACGCTATAAGGAACTACTTCCTTCTATTCTTTTTCTTATATATTCTTATTTGATTAAGTTGTTACGCAACCGCTCATGCCTGATGTGTGAAGGCCTCCTCTGTTAGCTTATCTGCGGAGTCGTGTAGGCAGTGATGCTAAAATAAACATTCCTGACTTTACCTGCACGACCTGAAGAACGTGTCCGATCAGTGGTCTTCTTACAACTGTTGCATTTTCCCTCAAAATAAGTTCTTATTATCTCAGGTCGTCAGTTACTATAGCTCCTCTCGTAGTCATTTTGAACATGCATTTCTTTTCCAACCTCCACCAGAGTGTGTCTGAAGGTGGGTGTTTGTGCCCACGGCTCCCCTGACTCTGCCCTGTGCTCGGAGAATGTTCCAGAGGTGTATGGCGTTCTGCTCCACTGCATGACTGACTACACGAGAGACAGCAGAGGGGACGTAGGTGCTTGGTAAGTTCACTTATTGGTAACCGCACATAATAAACAAGCTCAAAGATAAACCCGCAGCCTTCCAATTCGCCTCGAGGTTTACAAATGCTCCCCCACCTGAGGCCTCTGGTGTCTTTCTGTCCGTTAACCTAGGAACACAAAGACATGACATGCGTGCCTGTGTCACTAGTATCCCCAGGCCATGCTTACCGACTCGCCAGGAATGTCACCAAGCTTGTCACATGTCTTCACAATAGGCCAGGCGGCTTCCTGTACGCTGTCTACTTTAGTAATCGAGTTATTTTTCTTCTTTTTAACATGCTATTATTTCGACTCTTTGTTTTCAGTTTTGTACCGGACTTTTTGTCTTTTTGTTGTCAAGCTCACACCCACACTGTGACACGTTCCTCTCCTCTGTGCACCTGCTTTTAGGGTTTGACTCTTGAATATGTGCATTACCATTTCACTTAAACAAATTGTGCCCTGCAGCTCATTTGACTATAACACTGCCAGATCCAGTGAGATACAATCATCAGAGGATGGCAAGCTCTAGCCTGTGCTTCATTTGTACTAGTGAAACTTTGTATCCATTCATTGCATAAACGCACATCATGTGAAGAACATCTTGTGCTTTTATTCTTTTTGAATACTGTTCATGCTCAACTCTCTGACTGCCTTTTGCACTAAGTGTTTTTAGTTGTTTAGCTTTTAAGGTTATTTGTATAGTTACATTTAAATAAGTTGTAAATACTTCTTTTTTTACTTAATACTTAATTGTTTATGTTCGCACCACCAGATACCAAAGCAAATTCCTTGCATGTGTATTCGACCTGCTAATAAACTTGATTCTGATCCTGATTCATTTGATACGTTTGCTTCAAAGGATTCTTTTGAAGGAGCTTCCGGAGGTTGTTAATGACCCGGGTTAATGTATGCAAGGTAAACCCAAGTCTTGACCCTCTGTGATGTTCCCAGGGTGAGAGAGGCAGCGATGACGAGTATCATGGATGTGACCTTGCTGGTGGCCATCAGCGCTCCAGAGATCCTCCTCCCAGACCTGTGAGTAGAAAACAGAAGACCCTGATTAACACTAAAATCCTGCATCTTTCTTTTTTTACTTATATCTAGAGGGATTTCACACTGTGTTTCACAAGAAAGTAAAAAGTTGTAAACCCTAACCTATCCATTGGTCTGAGTAATCTTAAGTGTTGGATATCTGAAGGTGTGGCCGCAATACTTACAGCCTGAGTCAATTCAGCCTGGATCAAGTTATTATAATAGAGGAACAGTATCGAACTTAATCATTGCGTCACATTTTCTTTAACACCCAATGTCGCCTTTTGGCTTATTCAAACTACAAGAGTGATTTACTTACTGTATGTACATTTGTTGACATATCTTAATATTTGACACCAGAACCCTAGCTAACAGGGTGCTAACTGTTCTCTGTGCAGGGTGAAGAGAATGATGTGCTGCCTGGCCCAGCAGGCGGCCGAGAAGATCGACCGCTACAGAGCCCACGCTGGAAACGTCTTCCTGTGCCTCCTCCACAGCAAAGAGCCTGCAGTGCCTCACATCCCCCACCAGGAGGAGCTGCTGCGCATCTTTCCTTTGTGAGTCCCCCCCCCCACCCTGCATTCATAGCTATAACAGCTGGAGTGAAGCAAATGTATATGCTGGACTGTTTGATGTGGCACTTTTGTCTGACCAACTTGTGATATTTTGTCTTTTTATATGTCTTTCAGTGAGACCACAACCAGTCTGAACTGGAGTGCTCCATCCCAGGCCTTCCAGTATATCACCCAGCTGCTGGGACTGCCCCAGTATCAGTACCACACCTTGCTGGGCCTCACCGTGTCAGTGGGAGGAATCACCGAGTCCACAGTAGGTCACCTCACAAATCAGAGCAGTATGATGTGCAGACAGGTGAAACATTTTAAGTAAATCCAAAAGCAGACGCAAGGGTTACTGAATACTACAAGTATGAATCATATGCTATTGCTTCTGCGTTTATCAGATCTGATCCCAGTTGAACACCGAGGGGGATTTAGGACTCCACAGTCGTCACCAAAACACGAAATTAGGAAAAATGTGAACAATGGTTTTCCATCTTTCCAGCAGCTTTAAAATCTATGATAAGGAGCACTGAATGTATTCTGGCATGGTTGACCCACATCTCTATTAGGACAATCGATGTTTGATACCTATTTGTATTCTAGAAAACGTCCCTCTCACTTCATACACATATTCAAATGTCATGCTATAAACAAGAAGTTCACATAAAGATGAAAAAAGAACTTAATCTGTTCTTTTCACAGCTCTTAAAAAGGATGTTGTTTCAACATTTACTGCTGGTTTGAAATGAAGAACTTCTAAAAATTCAATGAAATAGACACTTCACGGTGTACTTTGCTATTTAGACAGCTGGGATGTAAGTATGTACAGAATTGAAATGCATTAAGATAAGATAGCACTTTATTGATGCCAATTATGTAAATGTCATTGTAGAAATAACACATTTATTACACAATAGAGCCAGACTATTTGGGTTGGTGGTAAATCTTGCTGTCAGTCATCAGTCTGCAAAGTCAGGTTGTTATTGAGGAGCAGTGTGGGCCAACAGGGGGAGCCATTAGTCCAGAGAAGTCTACTCAATCCTCGGTTGCGGTCGGATAGTCCAAAAATCAGCTCCTAAATTCTAACCCTATCGTCTATCCCTTTACCTCTGAGTGAAACGTCACGGGGTTAAGGGATAGTTGATAGGAGAATTCAAAAGGATTTAGGAGAAGAGACTGCGGTGCTTTAGAGAATCCGACTGCACTTTCACTATCCGACGTGTTTATGATGCGCCAGCGGACGTCATGAATGTGCGTCTGCTGCTGTGGGGAAACTATGGAAACTACAGTTTTCTATACAGCGGACTACAACATGGATGTATAATAAGAAGGAGGGACTACTGTAAACTCATCTAGAGACTCTGCACCATGCTCTGATGCTGTTGCTTTATGCTTTATGAACGGGGACAACAGAGAAACATATTCTTCATGACCAAAGTTGGAATTGAAATTGTTTGTTTGTTTGTTTGTAGCCTTTATTTAACCAGGTGAAAGCCCCTTGAGATCAAAAGATCTCTTTTTCAAGGGTGACCTGCAGAACTGAAATAAAAAAGGAAAGTGAAACTTATGCTCGTCACCCTCTCCCTCCGGTCCACATTAATACAAATGATCCCAATACGTATGATTGTATGAAAATATATTAAAATCGATACAAATGTATTTATTATAAAAGTTAGTCCTTAACATCTATCACTGTGTATATCACCATTACAACCATTACTTTTAAAAGTGAAAAGTTGAACAAACTCCACACAGCTCAGTGAAGACTGTTAAATGTTGACTTTATTTGATAATTTCAGTAAAAACTAACATTCATATTTCTGTTTTTGATTATAATACTGATGAACGTTCAAAACAAAGCACTTTGGCAAGTCGCCACCTACGTTTTAAAATGCTTAATAAGCACCGTAACTTTCATGATATCATTTCTCGGTCATAATCGGTTGTTTCCGTGAACGGCCGACTGTTGTGTGACGGCAAATGCTGCGGCCGCAAGGCATTGTGGGGCAGCATTTTCTCCTCTCCTTTCGGTAAGGGAGGTCCAGTGGTTCCTAAGCTAAAGGAGGTTATAAAGGAAGTTTGAAACCTCCTTTCCTTTCATCTAGAGAATTCGAACGGCTCTTATCATGGCTGCCACTGAGGGACTTCCGAGTCATTTCACTCCGTTAGGAAGGTTCCTAAGCTAAATGGACTACGCAACCCTCTTCTCTCTAATCCCTTATCTTCCTCCTACTCGGTAGAATGCCTTAGTCTCAATTATTTCACAATATCACAAATATCAGCTTTGTTACTCTGGCCTATCTCCACCCTGTCCCTGCTTGCGATGCTTTGGCAACCCCCCTAGCTTGAGGCTATGATCAGACTTATCCAGAACAAATTGATCTGACGGGTCCCTCGTGGTCCTGGCATGCGAGAAGTTTCCAACAGTTGAATCTTTGCAATCCATTGCTAAATAACAGCTAAAAAGCGTGTCTGATATTTTCCACTCCTGACCCCTTACCCCATCCCCCAGGAGGCTCAACACTAACACAACATCAGGGTTGGTCAAGTTCTCCCTGCATTGTTACCTAACCTTGTAAAAACAATCACTCAGTTGATTGGGTTATTTTTAACATTAGGGACTTTTGGATGTTTTAAAAGCAAATAAGTTTAAAGCCTAAAATAGCAGCAGTGAAGTTGAGCTCCTCTGCCAGTGGAGGCTGCTGCAGACAGTATTCCCCCTCCCCCGACCTGGCTCTCGTCTTGCTTTACCTCCTCCAGCCTCTCTCTGCCCCAGATACATCCTCAGAGATGGGAAGACTGATCTGTTTGTACAGGGTTGCATGCAGGAAACTGAGCCAATACTGCATCAATACGTGAGCCAAGATTACCATTCTCACACCACAGGCATATATTCACACAGGCCAGAGAGACGGAGCGTACACTGACTTTCCAGGAACTGCCTTCAAGGCCAGCCTCAGTGTAGAGAGATCATAAGGCCGTGCCAAAGTGAAACAGCAGAACCTGTCACAGTCACAACACTAAGAAACATCATTCCATCACAGTGTTTATGTGTCAAACATGCACAACAAAAGGATTTCCCCATCTACATTCACATGGAAAATAGTGTGTATGGTTAAAGGTTATTTCAAGTATTGAGATGACATATTACCAGAGCAGCTGGATGTTATCATGTTCACAGTTAGTCACTCATAGGCCTAATGAACTTGTGCTATCACAGACTGGTTTTATGTTTCTATCAGAATGTTATACTACAACTGACTGACTTAGTATTAAATAACATGGACACACTTCGTAATCATTGCAGCGTTATTGTTGAGGGAAATTCTCAAATGTCCTTAAAAACCATGGAATTAGATTACCAGACATAGCTAGCACTGACCTCCAGTCAGTGTTTCAGTCCTCTGTTTCAACATCCGGCTGCTCTAATTGAACCGCTGCTTCCCTCCAGGTGCATTTTTCCTCCCAGTCGTTGTTTGAATATCTGCGAGGGATCCAGGAGAACATTGCTGCCCTGACACAGTTTGGAGACACGCTGCTGAGCATCTTCAGAGACAATCTCCGCAATGACATGTAAACAAACAAACATCCTTTTCTTCTTCACCTTGCTACAGGACTTCAGGCTACATTGAACATGTATGCGGGCCGTTAGCGTTGTGGCTGCTCCAGTCAGGGGAGAAATGGCACCACAGAGATCTCTTCATAACGTGTCTATACTTTTTGTATAGATCCTACGCTTTACAGGAAATTACTTCATGGCTGCAAATCAGTCTATTGGAAATATAGTTTTCTATCATACAAGTAAAAAGAGCGTATTGTCCTATTTGTTATCAAACAGGCTTTTCACTTTGGGTTCTTGATCACCCTGTTGGCATTTGTATTGCCAGTACCAGCTGGTAGCTGCTGAGGAACGTAATGCCTTAAATAGCCTACTGTAGTCTGTAGATGTCAACTTTTACACAAACCTGGTAATAACGTTAAAGTTCTGCTGTGTCCAAAAACAATCCCAAAATGAAGGCTCAGGGTCTTGTTTTGTCTGTGAGTTACACAAACCTACGCTGTATACGTGCTGCAGGCTATTAAAGATGTCACATCAGCTCTGGGTGTTAGATTGTGGAGTAATGTGTCAGCCTTAACTTTTATACAATTGTTTTGTGTCTTTTAGGTTTATTATGTTTGACCTTTGGCCAGATGTGTTGCAATATTTATTCTCGCAGCGATATAGTTTAATATTCTCACAACAGTCTTTAGCCTTCAGTAACTGATATGTCCTTTCCTTTTTGCAGGGTGTCTATTCCTTTCCTTGGGATGCTCAATCAGATGCTTGCTAACAGCTGCTTTGAAATCTTCGCCACTCAAGAGAAGTGAGTAATGCAACAGCTTCCATTAGTACTGTTTGTTTGAACGTGATGTGAGGGCTGAACTGTTCTGTCTCTTTTCAACAGTCATCAGTTCTGTGTGGACATTTTGGATCTTTGCAAAGAATTCAAGAAGTCCAAAGTTATCGCCAAGTTGCGCATTTCTATATCTGTGTAAGTCTTCATCTCAGTGACACATTATTTACTCGACTGAGGAAGAAGTCACCCCCCCCCCCGTTTTGACAAAGCTGTTTTGTGTTTCCCAGCTTCTGTGGTTTGATCCAGTTCCAAGGGGAGGTGAGGAAGAGAGTTCTGGCCCAGCTGTTGATGCTGCTCTGCCACCCCTTCCCCGTGGTACGTTCACTAGACAACCTTAAAGCTGGAGGAGGTTCTTTTTAGCGTCATTGAGCAAAAAAATCTAAAATATTCTTTCTTAAAAAATCGAAATAAACCCCCATCCTAAGTGATCACCGGGCACCATCATCAGATTTTAATTTGTCAACTGGTTCCTTTAGCTTTAATTTGTGTATAGTACTAATTAGCAAATGTACGAATGCTAATGTTGTGGAGATGGTGAACATGGTAAACAGTATAACTGCTTTACATGAGACTGTTAGCATTATCATTTTTGGGCATTTACAAAACTCTACAAAACCACCAGCATGGCTTACCGTGTCTCATTTATTGTTATTCCGTATGAACTCTCGCTATCTTGAGTAAACAGGTGTGTTAACTCTGACAAATTTGAAAAATGCAGCACAGTGCGAGTGCCTTCATGGTGCATTCATGACGCTTAAAAAGGTGAGTGTAGAACGCTGGACACTTCTTAACTTCAATGGTCGCCAAGTGCTGTCAAAGGCTTCATGTTGCAAGTTTGACTTTACTGGAGAAAAAACTGTTACATTTTGCACCAGATGTGTTCGATTTGAGACATGGTGTACCACATGGAAGTGTGCTAACGGAGTTATCCAAACTGAGATACAGCACTAGTTTGGTTTGTTTACTCTGCTTTTTGTCACCACATCTAATAAAATATAAAAAATAACATCCTCTCTGTCACGTGTAGATCAGAAAGACGACGGCCGGCCAGATGTACGAGATGCTGCTGACCTACGATGATGTCATAGATCCAGAAGTGTTGGATGATGTCATGACTCTGCTCAGCGATGCTAACTGGTGAGTGGTCACATTGGATGATTAATAAATATCCTTGTGTTGTTAAATGCATTTGGTATGTATAGGACACATTGATGTGTTTGATGTTTATTCCAGGGAGAGCGACCTTGAAACAGTACGAACCCACAGGAATCAGCTTTGTGATTGGCTGAAAGTCTCCCAGCCAAGGAAGATTACCAAGGTAACTAGGATTTCTGTATGCAGATACAAACAATTACAATGTTGTGTTTTTCACCTTGTTGGACTGAGTTAACAATACAATACAAAGGGGCTGTATTGGCATGACCACATTTTAAACATAGTACTGCCAAAGCATTCTGCACAAGGCGTTATAATAGAAAAAAAGAAACACTAAACATAAATGTCAACAATACATGTGGCGCAACAGCCAAACACAACTCTAACTCTAACCCCTCTCTTCCATCACCAGAACCCTGTCCCCAGCTGAGCGTCATGTAGGAGGACACCGTGCTGTAAGAACTAATAAGGGCTCTGCTCTTCTGAAGCTGCCCTGTAACAGTTGGTCAGTCCATCTGCCAGAACACAATGCATGTAATAAATCACAGTCTTTAGTTGTACATGACAATAAATGGACGGAAAACATCAGATATCTCCCTTTTTTTGTTATCGCTATTGCAGTTACAAAATGGGCCCGTTCAGAGCCAGCCGACTGCTCATGATTCAGCTTTCTCAAAAACCATTCATCCAAACAACTTCAAACTGCGCCTCCCTGGGTCCCACACACCACCTGCTGTGCCAGTTCTGGTTCTATGGAGACATTTTTTATTATTAATATACAAGACTTAATAAGGGAACGGAGAGAAAAGACTAACATACTGTGCTGTCATGTTTCATGTCAAAAACAACCAAAGCAGATTAAAATGTTTTAATTTAGTTCTGAAGGCTAAACCCGTAGGAGTTACCAACACCACTTAAGCGATCAGAAACCAAAAATATAGTTACTAAATGTTGGTTGTTATCAAACCTTCACAAACTCACTTCCCCTGGTATGGAGGAAATCTGCTCCTCACAGAGAGGAGAGGCGAAGTGCTCCGAGGCCTTCGCGTCTGTAGCTCTACAACATGCTTTAAATTCTATCGTGTTACGGTATGCCCTGAAGGGTTTTCAGATGTCAAGGTCTTCAGATTTTCCTGTCACTGGCGGGGCGTTTACATAATGCTCAACTGGCTTGTGCTTTTTAATTAACGAGGACGATGGGATTCATCATTAGAATAAAACGCTCTCAATTATGCATGTTGAGACCCTGTCATGAATCTGGGTAGACTTTTCTCAAAAATCAATTTAAGAAAAAAAGTGCGTGAAAATAAACATTTGTGCCCTCGATCTGTTTCTCTCTTCTCCTCTCTCTCTCTCCCTCTCTCTTTATCTCTCTCTGGTGTTTTTACAACTTCCAAACCAAAAGCTTTCATTGTGGTTTTCTTTGCGTAACAACTTCATCACATTCGCCATTGAGGTCACAGTCTAGTGAGACTTAAATGTAAATGGTATCAATAGAGTTGTTTACTTGTAACCTGTACCTGACCACACAGAAGGTGAAAGTCACACTGTGGTTTGCGTAGACTCCGGGGAAATGCTTTGCCATTTAGCCGTTTTGGCACAAACCGTGGAATGTCACTGGGGCCCGGCTTCCCCTCGGGGCCCATGCAGACCTACTTTTTCTGCATCAGTGGAGGTGCCAGGGACTGGAGGAGTCCCAGGCTGATAGGGGAGCCTCCCTGGATGCCTGTGGAACAGAGCCTGTTGTGTCACCATCGAGCCAGGCCTTCTCATTACGGGCTGATAGTGGCCACATTGTCTCAGCCAGCTTCCCTGCCTCACTGACACAGACACAAAAGTTGCATTATTTAAGAATTAGGTGGTTTCTGGTTATTTATTGTACATTGCAGAAAACTCCCCATGCTCATAATCACAATATTGAATTACATTTTTCTGTAATATGATCAATTTAACTAGGTTTCATGGACATGGGTAATTCGGCTCATAAAACTAGGTCGAAGAAAAGTTGTTATTTTTATCCCATATGTTTGGCTTTGGGTATTGCAGCAGCTATTCTAATTATGTGTGTGCTGCCCAATAATATGTAAAATCTGACGATTATTGCCTGTGACTGGATAATCAGGAAAACTTCAACTTTGATTCCAAACACTGTTGAAATGGGTCATCCCTAACTTGTTGTTGATTAATATCTGAATGAGAACTGCACCATGACACAGGTCATGACTTCCAAGTGAGCATCACAGTTCCTGATTCTGTTAGCATAATTGCTCAATCATTTTAAGATTGAATTTAATTGTTTTTACAGTTCTTTGTACACATTTATTTTTGCTTGAATCCAATAGAAATGAACATTGAACACGCGCTTCTACGAGACATCATTTTGCTATAAAAAAAAAATGGTGTGCAGGCGTTACCAATTTACAACGGTCAATTGTGGCCAAGAATAATGGATTATGAACTGTTGCTAGGTGTCATATCGCTAAATTGCCGCTGAGTTTGTGCCCCTGACAAGTAGCTTAGCTAGCCTCTTACCATTCTCATTAACAAGGCCACATTCACTCTTACCCTCCATGGGTGTTGTTGAATTTGTCTGGCTAGTCCAATATTGCTGCAGCCCATAATTCGACTTTAATTAATTCCCAGCCAGATTGAAATTCCTGTAGATTCTAATGAAAGAAATGGTGTGTTTCTCTCAGGGCGGATTGATGGTAAAGCGAGCAGCTTTGCTACAGTGCTCGGGGTGGAGAGGAATGCTAATAATTCTAAAAGGCTTACAGTTCGACGGCAGTAGCCATGGCGATTCTTCACATACAATGGTGGTCTTTTAGAGTAGTGGGGAGGGGAGGGCGCTGCTCCCGTATTGACTCAGTATAGTGTGATATTAGGAAGGACCTCGGTGCACTTTCTACTGTTCTGGTGATTATGAGATTAAGTGGTACCCATAGCAATTTGCCCAAGGTAACGATGATGGAGTGAAGAGGGCTCGAGATCTGTCCATATAGAACAAGGCCAGGGAACGACTCGAGCATTTCTTAGATTAATTTCATTTTATGTCTACAAATCCAATCTGACCTCTGAAAAACAAAACAGTGACAGTGTTGTTAGTCATTACTGTATGTAGCCATCATCTCTCTCATTATGAAATTGATATGATTTTTATTATGGTCCAATCTTTTTTTTTTGATGGCTCGGAGGACAATGTGAGTGCTTGTGCAGTTTTACCGTAAATGGTTGTTATTGCTCAGAGTAAAACAGTGTGTTTCTAATTTCCCCTCATGATCCACTGATGGTTATCAGCATCATAGAAGCATATATAATGAAAAGCTCTTCCGCTTTCACAATCAATGACTCGACTGTGGTGGACACAGAGGCAAATGTGACACTAGTTGCCCTCCAGATAACCTGATAATCATTCAGTTTTCTACATCTTATGCCCTGAGGCATGTCGTTTTATATCACAACATTACATTCATCAGTATTTCAGCACACTAAATCTGATCATGTTGCAAGATTGCACACTTTGTTATTCAACAGCTTATGCAGAAGGCACTGAAATGCAGAAATGTGGAACCTTTGCTTATGAAAACTGGCTTTAAACAATCATATCGTAGTTGTTCCTTATAACAGTTTAGAGGTACTTCATGGTTAAACTGAATGTCTCCAGTTTAGCTTCACTATGAGATGGAGCTGCTGAGAGAGTTTATTATTGCCAGGTGTAACTCCTGCTGGGACTTCCTGCGTATGGCCTTAACACCTGGTGTAGGAGCAACAACCCTCCTCCAGCCTGTTAGTCAGCTTCATTAGTCTTGCCCCGGCCCTAATTGCCCTAATTTATAGAGTGGGGGTACTCTGGAGCAGCTGTTACAACTAGCTTTGAGTTCAGGACTCCTATAAATGAAGTTTAAACGTATTATTATAAACTGCCTCTAAGGTAGACATGTAACTTTGAGGGTTTTAGTTTTTATTTACTTATATTAAAGGTCACCTATTATGCTAAATCCACTTTTTCATGTCCTTTATGCATAAACATGTGTCCCCACTGTGTAAAGAGATTCTGAACGTTTCAGTTTCAGTGCTCTCTTTTTGTCCTGATCCATTTCTATAAAAACCCGTCTGAAAATGAGCTGATCAGATTTTGGCCACTTTATGATGTCATAACGTTTTTTTGGTTTGTGTAACCATTAGCCAATCACCAACCAAGGTAACCCCCGCCCACCTTTTCACCTGAATCTCCTCCTAGAGCTCCATTGTGTTCTTTTTAACCACATATCTCTCAGAGGGGCGTGGGGAGGGGCTCCTTATTTTCATCTAAAGTAAAAGACAGAATCAGCACTTTTGGAACGGGGCCGAAACAGAGGGGATTATGGGATGCTACAATGCACGATCTGTTTGGTATTTGGATCCAAACACTTCAGAGACATGTTTTGTATATATATCTGAGATCTATCATATATTGAGGAAAAACAGTACTATAGAGGGCCTTTAAGTTTATGATTTGATAAGACCGAGAAGAACATCAGCATATACTCTGTGCTGAATGCTATGGACATTGTGGATATGAAACCATAAAGATACACTTTAGGAAATTGCAGAAACAAAGTTTTTTAGTAGAAATGACTGAAGATGATAATTATATGACTGATAGAAATAGCAGAGATACGATAATTACATGATTGATAGAAATAGCAGAAATGTTATAATTATGAATATGACAGCTGATGCGGTCTCCCTCCAGGAAACCACAGTATTTATACGTTTCCAAAAAGCCATAATCAGCAGCACACCAGGCATGCGCGCTCTCCCTAGGAAATTACCACGTTGTTTAGAATTATAGTAATTTTGAAATGGAGGCAGCTGGATAAGTTTGGCATTGTGGGTTAATTGCAAAGCCTGCGTCCTTTTATAGACCACAGGTTAATGGGGAGTGCGTTGTTATATCAACAACACACACATATTCTTATAAACAATTTGGCTAAGTGAATATCCTGTTCTGCTGCTGGCCAACGTTACTTTGTTGCTCAATCCCTATTGGACAGAATACCAGAAGTCTGTCAAAAGTGATTGGGCTAGCCTAACGTCACATCATCTTAAATGTGTTGTTGTTTCAGTTTTTTCAGACAATAGGCACTTTGTATGTCCTCTAGCCACCTTATCGAAGCAGTCTGGTAGTCTGTGCGGGAGAGAATGTGGTTATGACCTGATAAACTGTTATCTGGGCTGTGTTTTCTGAGGGTAGGCTGGCCTTGTCTGAGAGCAGGCCACCTCCAATTAGCCTTCCTTCCTTTCTGCTCCTGTCCTGTAGGAGACTGACAGCCATTATCAGCTTCAGCACTTCCCAGATTCCACTCATTTCAACAATATTCGTAATAAGTTTGGATACAATGTCTATCTGAGTTGTGATGTACAGATGCTCCTGTGTTGTTGTTGCGTGGGGGGGGCAGGAGAGGAGGTTGTCGGCCAGCTGGTCTGTTGGGGTTACAATGATATCAAGAGGCCTGCTGAGAGAGCCTGATGGGCTTCTGGGAAACGTCTTCCCTTGTCTGTTTGATTAAAGAAACTGAGGACTGCTTACATAGCATCACTCTGGG